GGGGGGGGGGGTCTTCGACCTGAAAAATCAGGGGTTAGGATTTGCACCCGGTCGAAAAAAACCTTGCTATCGCAAGAGTAACTCCAGCTAGCTTCGCTAGCTTTCGTGAATAGGCATATACATGGAGTCATTTACCAGCACAGGCCCCGGGTCTCCGAACTGGAGGGTTGGGAAGCGCCCGAAGACAGGTTTCAATTGGTGACCTGACTATCGGACACGACTAATGGGACTGCCATAGGACTGCCGATCAGTTGGGGTGGTGCCAGAGGGGTCAATTGATCGGCATATACATGGAGTCTTTGGGGTATATTGTGCTATTTTGAGAGCTACCTGCTAAGCCACTCATATGGCGATAAGTTGTTGATGACCACGTCCAAATAGAATGAATCCATCTCTAACGCTATCATAAGTGTTAGAACGCATAAGATGTTTTAAACTTTAAACAATGCCAAATATATAACCGCTGCCTTATAGGCCCGGCTTCTTGCGAATGTCCGAATGGTGTTTACCCCGCCACGATGGGATACCAACACGCTCCGCGCACAGCATGTCCTGCTTGTAGACCACCTGGAGAGGCCCATGTCCGGATTGCACCATCGGGGCTGTTGTCCTTGGCGCCGGTTCGACGCCGACGACGAGCCGCAGGATCCCCATGGATGGAGCCCCTCACTTCTCCTGAAGTGACACCCCAAACATCGATAACATGAATTAGGATGTCGTTTCATGTTACAGTATCTGAGTAGGTGCTACAACTTCACTGGATGGAGAGTGAAGTGTATGGGAAGAGTGTGGTTTTTCCCTGACAGTTTTTCCAACCATCCGCTGAGGACCAAATCCCCTCCTTAATGGAACAATCTCTCAACAGCTCCTCGCAGTAGCAGTAGTGTCCAATTTGGCTGATTGCCAAGTGGACATGAGGTGGTTGGCTCGCTGAAATGGTGGCTTGTCACGTACGAACTCCAACACTTGAGAAAGCTCTCCACAAACAATCCCAGCTCTGTCTCGAATGCCCATCAGGTCCAAGTCACATCAAGCCGCTAGTGGAGGCCTCGCACGCACAGGAAAAAGCACATGTGACAAACCCGGCCAAACCCTATGCCCGATGCCAATCCCTTCTCGAAGGGGTCGACAAAGGGACCAGGTGGGCCCCGTGGCAAAATGCTAAACCCTTGCGGCACCCCCGCCTTCGCCAGAAAAGAACCTCCCCACTCTCCCCTGCCTGCTTTGGGCCTTTACTGCTGGGCCTTTTCGTCAAGGACAACCTGAGCAATGTGGAAGTCCGATCCAAAGCATTGCGGAGTCCGATCGCACGATGAGGCCAGGCTTGAAGGATGATGAGGTCAGGTAAACCCTGCAAACAAACACTCATCATCACTCATCCCTGGGCCTGTGTTGGCTTCTAATTGGTTTAAAGTGGTCGAATTCTCCCGACTGAAGACTGGTCCAACCCACAGATCGTCCCATGCATCTCAAGCAAAAAATCCCGGAACTTCCGGAACTTGACTCATGAGCTACCCCACCTGGTAGTCATAATCCACCACTTGTGAGGAGGTAAAAGTGAATCATGACTGGACTTCCAGGGTATGTCAGTTGTAGAAGCAAATGGATTACGTCTGGGGCGAAGCCTCACAGGGAAAAATCCGTCTGTCCTATCTTTCTTCCAAAGATTCATACCGGGGTGTATTATAATAGGGAGACCTCCCAAAGACCCTTTGGAAGAAAATAAATAGACTAAAACCCACTGGTTGGGGGTCTCCCTATTGAAATGCACAACCATATTCAGCTTGTATGTTGCATTGACCTTCTTGGCACTGGTTCCTTCTTATTTCTGTCATCCTCTGGAGCTTGCTAATTACAATTGCAAGGTTGTGTCACATGCAAAGACGCCGGACCAGCCAGCCAGCGTCAAAGGCAGCCATCGTTTTTCACTTGGTTTTCAATGGTTTTCGCACATCTTCAGCCCAGCCAGGCCACATCGGGGGGTGACCAGATCAGTGATGGACCCACGTGGCCACTGGAAGAAACGTCTACAACCAGGAGGTGAGAGCCACTTTCATATGTTGGAGGGAGGGTAAGCCTTTTCTCATGTTTTTGGCCGACATGACTGCTGCTTTTTGGCCAGTTTGGCTCTTGGCCACCTGGGTTCGCTAATGATGTTGCTGCCCATCTTCCCTCAGGTTCGGGGCTTCACCCCCGCAAGTTGAAGAACCTTCCGGAGGCCAGTCCTGACTGGGCCCAGCTGCTTGCCCGAGGTCTGCCGCATCGGAGACCGACGGCCGACGTCGACCTCGGCGGTGCGGCGAGGCGAACGCGGCCCTGCAGGGGTGGGTCAGAACCCGAGTTCGACCATCCTATAGGTACCCCAGGTGACGGGTCCTATTTACGGTCACTGGCTACCTCTCTTGGTAGTCGAAGACTTTCGACATCATTCTTTGACTATAAGGGGAACTGAGATGTTCGGTGGATCTTGTGCTTTTGGCCTGAATCTTGTGCGTTTTGGACTTCCAAGAGTTTGTTCAAGTGTCGGGGCGGCGTCAATGAAATGGTCTCACTCTTCAAAACCACAACTTCTCTCAGCCCTTCTGCTGTCGCCTCCATGTCCACGTTGGTGTTTTGGCTTCCAACATGTCCTGGGCCGGGAGCACCGAGCGGAGGGCGAATTTGCCACCTTCCGTGCGTTCCGTCCACGTTCCAGGTTCCTGGCAAACGATGAGAATCCGCCAGTGTCTATCTCCCAAACAATCCAAAGTGTGACCAATTACAATTGGATTGGCTATAGGGGTCGATCTCTGAAGCATAAAGTCATTCTGTCCCTCCATGGGCGACATGTTGAAAGATTCCGAAAGTTTGCTTACCCTAAGGCCCTGTTTGACCCAAAAAAGAACAAGTTTAAAAAAATAAATGAAAAACAAAAACAACACATTCAAAAACCTGGATCTGAGACCCTGAGAGTGCTGACCCCTCCAATAAAGACTCCCTGCCCGTTGTCCACTCCTTTGTCATTTGGTGGCTCAGCATCGCTGTCCAAACTCCAATGACCACGCCCTTGGTGAACTCTTGGTGGTAAGATCTTGTAAGACAAGTATAGTATGTGGAGAGGTGTAGGATTTTAAGACTGTAAGACTGAAGACGAGTATGTGGAAAACCACCTCACCTCAGAGTTGTGGCCCTCTCACCTCACCTCTACCAGAACGATCACCACCTCACCTGGGGGCGGTAGCCTTGCCTTTCGAACGAACTGCGGACTCGTATCGCGCCAGGTCGCTGGTGCCAAAGACCTTTCCTCAGGTGTCGCTGGAAAAACGAGGAACGAAGACGAGTTGCAACATCCAACGGTGGGGTCTCTGTGGTGGTGGCGCAATGCTTTCCTCCTTTCCCTAAGGATCCAAATTAGATCCATAGGGTTTGGAGGCCAAGTCAAGCAAGGACCATGACAAATCCAAGGTCAACATGCAGGTGTTCGGCCAGTGTCTTAACCATATATATATATATCCGATATATAATATTACATAATCATAGTTATCATGACACGCCGTTAAAATACACAAGCATTAACATCAAACATTTCCAGGCCACTGACCAGGCCTCAAGTGGATCAATGCAAATCAGTGGACCTGAGCTTCCAACAGCGCTTCCTGAGCTTGGACAACCTGCTTGGTCTAAGATTCATGGATACAAAGTTTGACAAGCCCCTTCAGGTCAAAATCTGTTTGGGGTTGAGGCTGGGTGGCAAAATAAGTTTTGGGTTGAGGCTGGGTGGCAAAGTCACCTCGCAATCAACAGCACTGCCAACACCGCTGGCAACCGCCTACCCAGGCCAAGTCTAAGCAAGAAACCTGTCCGACAGAGAATCCACATATACCAAGTAAAACCATGCACCAGCACACAAAGCTGCACTATAGCAATGAAGTGCTGGTTCTTCTTTTTCCCATGTAGGACACTTTCATACCAAGGGGAGCTGCTTTTCGGACCTTGGAGGCTGGTGGGGGCGGGGTGGGTGGTCTTCCCCGTCTTCGCGCCGAGTCACCATGTGTGATGGTGTTACCTCGGGATGTGAGGGTCGCTGAGGGTCCGCTCTGCTAAAAAGACCACCCGGCAAAGGATTCCGTGGGTCGGCAGACTCTAGAATCACCTGTACTGTGGCCACCTCACGGCAAGCAACCCCTATGGGGGAAAATCATGCTCTTGAAGCAAAAGGAAAGCAAACCGTGCGGAGCTGACATAGTCTAGCCACTGGCACCTACACCCAAGGAATCGATCGCATGCTTGGAACGGTTCCAAGTCGTTGCCTCTCCTAAACCCGAGGTTGAAGAAGCCGACTGTTCGACTATCCCAGTTGGATCCTTCAGGTCACTTCTATAACCTCTCTTGGAAGTGGCCGACGCCGCGTCAAGTGCATCGGCGCGGAGGCGAAGCGTTCGGCGCGGAGGCGAACGGCTCCGAGGCGGGCGAGACCCACATGTAACCTGAAGGCTCTGTGGAGGTTTCGCATGGGTTGTGCTAGTCTTCGCAGGTCCATGCCGTTTCCGGTCTCTCCCCCGGGTGCTTAAAAAACATAGATAACAAAACCACACATCTGGTTGGTGTTTTCAGCTCACTTGAATTAGTTCAAGGGTCCAATCATCCCCAAGTAAGGGTTGAAAACAAACATATCCGAAACCATCACCTAGACATCTTCCGGAAGTCAGTTGTACTTCAGAAACGTTTGGACGGATCCTCCTGCCGCACCATCCAATAGCGGCACGCGGCTCAAGCTGGCTTTCGTCAGCCCTGTGCCCGCTGGCTTGGCTGGACTCTCCTCCAGAGAGCGCCACCGGTTGGCATGAAGCTATGTGTGCGTTCGGCTCCCCAAGAGGACCGTCATCCTGAGGTACCTATATACCTAGAACCCGTTTGACCTCTGTTTTGATATGAAAAGACTTGTATGGTTTGAGGGATGGAAAAAACCGGCGCTTTTCTTGTACCAGGACACCCTAAGGGGCTTCTATTCATAGCCCCTTAGATGTTAAGGGGTGTCCATTAACCACCCCTTGTGGGTCATGGTAGATGTTCCCTTCAACTGAGTTCACATGAGTTCACCACTGAGATTGTCCCGCCGGGACAGCGAAAAAAACTGTCACCATGTGCAATAGATACAATACTGGTGCACAAACACACAACACATTGGTGGCGGTATTCAGGTCGGTCACTCACCCTAAGGGTCCAGGACCATCCGAATCGGATGTCCTTTGACCCCTCGTTCGACCATTCTCTGGAAGCACGAACTCACCTCCAAGACCATCCGAAGTACGGAGGTACCTGGACCCTATGGGTCAATCTACAGCTTGAGCAGCTAAGATATCAAGAGATACACTCCCTCAAACTAACATGGAAGTGGAGAATGGCCTCTTGGAAGACCATGAAATCCTCTACAAACGGGGTGTGCCATCCACTTCCATGTTAGTGAGTCGGGCAGCATACCGTCAGAGATGCCCAAGCAAACGAAAAAGGACCTCGACCACTAAGGGATTCCAGCTGATGGCTCCGATGCTTCGAAGAGCAGTTTGGAGGGCAAACGTTCTGATACTGCTGGCAGTTTGGAGCCTGTCAGGTAGCTTCAAGAACCAAATCGAAACAGCCCAAACAATGGACCTTCTGAAGATGCGGGGTCCAGGACCTCCAGGAACCAAACAAATCCCCAGGTTTGGGAATTCACCCATGCAGTTCAGGAAAAACTACGAGTACTGTATACGTTGATGTTTTATACCTATCATATTACCATATTACCAAGGGACATTGACATCCCTAGGAGCGCCTCTTCTGGAGCGTCAACAATCATGGAAGAAACCAAACACTGCTCCAAATCGACTCGTTCGGTGCTTTGGGATGGCGCAGGGCTCGTGGCTCAGGACTCGTTCCTCAAACGCTCCATATGTGGAACATATTAATGCCTATACCTGGGCCTCCTAAGGGCACCACCCCTGGGTACGTATGACCCCTGGCGAGTCGTTTGGAACCCGCGACGCCAGTCACCGGTTCAGCTCCGCGCGCTCCGGAGCTAGCGCTCCTGGGTGCAGCTCTTGGCGTGGCTTTTCATGGCACTGGGGGTGAAGGTTCGACCACAATAGGTGCACTTCTCCTTGGTTTCGACCACGGCGCGACTGCTCGTGAGTGGTGCGGCACGACGCGGCACGAAGTGGCCACCACCACGATGAGATGGGGAAGGAATTTGGAGTGGAACACATGCCGGAGTTGCCAATTAGACAGAAGGGAGATCAATGCAAAGATCTTCAAAGCAAGTGCGACCATATTGCTGGTAGCTGGTAGGTAGGTGACCTCTATCCCTGCAACCCCAGGTGCCCAATGGCACCTACAAAGGAATCGACTTGCCGGCAATGGTTCCTCTTAAGAAAGAAATTGGGACCTATACTCAGCAAAAGGACTCGTAGCTGAGACTAGACGAACGAGACTCGCAAACGGAGGGGCGGAGCTGAAAGCTCAACAAAAACAGCAGCGAACGGCCTAAGCTAGTAAGGGGTTGGGGAACTCCCTGGAGCTCCGAACGGCTCCCTGTTGAGCTGGGGAAGGACTGGATACCCCTGGCTCCGTAGCTCGCTCCTGAGCCTAACCTGGACCGAACCCGGCGGTTTCTTGAAGCAATGTCCATTGTGCCAAGCAGGGTGGCGCTGAGCCGTTGGTCATCACATCCACCATTGCTTGGTGCGTAACGTATTGGTCCTGAGTCCTAGGTCCGTTGTTATTGCACCTATCCCAAAATTCAAAACATCACCATCAGGCAACACTAGGTTGTGGCAAGGTTTGGGGAGTTTCTGTCGTCGTTCTGTGTTTTTGTTCCAATGTTTTTAGGACCTGCATTGAATTGCGCTTAATACCAAAGCTAAACTGAGGGCATGCTTGTAAAAAGGTTGTTGTGGCTGAGACATTTCTAAGCAATCGAGTGGCCAAGCTTCCCAGCATTTCCCAGTTTGTCTGTTGGAGCCGGATCAACTTGTGAGCCAATCTGCAACCAATAAAGGATGCAGCCTCTACAGCCCAATGGGAGTTACCGCATGTTACCGCTATGGTCTGGAACCCTGTGGATGCAAAGGCTGAACCCGTACATCGACCGAGCGAGGAACCAGACTGGTTCCCAGCCGAGTCGTGGGCTGCGATCCACTGGGATCCCGCATTCACGGGACACTCTGATCGATTCAAGTGGCTAAGACATCTTCATCCCACTTGTTGTACATCTCCTGCGGAATCACATGTTGTACATGCACTGGATGGTCAATGGAGTGCCTCCAAGTTGGATTGCTGGTCGACTGACCCAAATGAAACATGACACATGAGATCACTGTGACGAATTGAATTCAACCACCAGGTGAGTAACATGGGGGGCGTCCACTTACTAACGCGTGTGTTTCCGTCCCCTTCAACTCCCGCAACGAGGCCAGGCGAGGACTAATCCCTAGGGCTCCAACCATATCCTCAGAAGGTGGTTAGACCCCCAAAACCCACCCCAACCACTTTCTCAGGAGGTGGTTGGAGCCCTAGGGAATCACTAATCCTAGAGGGAAGCGACGATTAGTGACCTTGCTCGGAGTGACCACCAGCATGGAGTCTCACCCTAACAGGTTCATGCCATATGTTCGGCCCTTTCACGGAATGATTCCCATCCATCATCATGCATCCAAATGGCCAACGATTCGCGCACACACAAAATCCGAGCAGGCAGGCTTATAGTCAGCACACAAATATGCAGTCAGCACGCAAATATGCAGGTCGGCCGAGACTGAGCGGAGAAGCTGGAGATCTTTTTAGGACATTCCAGAAGTACTGCTCCCAGTTCCACATAAGAAAGCTGGTTTCGATGCATTTTTGTTCAGCATGTTGAAGGACCAATTAAGGACCAAGCAAATCCGTAGGGCTCCTGGCCCATCTCCGCAGGTGGTCAGACCCCCCTGGCACCCACCCCCAACCATCTTCTCACGAGCGGAGCCCTGGGGGATGTTCCATCTATACTTCTAGGATCCCCATCTCTTAACTAGTAAGGGGTTGGGGAACTCCTTGTTGCTCCCTGTTGAGCTGGGGAAGGACTGGATGCCCCTGGCTCCGAATCGCTCCCTAAGGGGATGGGTGACTTCTAAGAGTCTCATGTCGACGCCTACCGACGACCATCCCTCGACGATCACCCCATTTCTCGACGCCTCGTTGAAGACGGCGCGTTCCTGGTGCCGGTGACGAGTCCTTTCGGAGAATTTCCCCACACGAGCCCCTCAGATCCTCCAGCCAAGCACCACATACCAGGGCCGCCCGGTTTCGGGGTGCCCAATGGACTAGCTCCGAACAGAGGTGAAGTCGATGTCCATTAACCACCCCTGGCACCGGGGGCCCTGGTAAAACCCGGCTGGTGGATGTTCATGGGCAAAAAAACCTGTTGTCTTTTTGTTGGAAGGTGACCTGCAGGTGATCCACTTTTCCTGGCTTTGTCACAAAGACGCCCCTCTTTGGAGGATCTGAGCAGGGGCTCCATTTGGAGATCAACAATGCTAGGGAGAGCAAAGTAGACAGTAGCACAAGACCACTGTAACAACACCACTGAAAGTGGAGAGTGTCCGTCATTCAAAAATTGCTGATCAGTTTCACAGCTATTCACAGTTTGTCAATGACAATACTTGGACATTAGACTTTTGATGGCAACATGTTGGAATGTTCATGACCCAAAGAGTGTCATATGAATCAAGGACGGAGGACCATGCTCGTTCAAAACGGTAAACATGGTTATATAAATACCCTAGGGCTCCAACCACCTCCTGAGGTTCAGTGGTTGGGGTGGGTGCCATGGGGGTCTAACCACCGAACCTGAGGAGATGGGACAGGAGCCCTAGGGATATAATGTTAAATAGTCTCCCAGAACGAACTGACAAAACATCTAAAGCCCTTCCCACTTGGCTCCAGTTGCCTGTCGGAAGCCAGACGAGTCGACGGGAATCGATCCGCAAGACACCGATGAAGTGGTGCCGAAACCAAATGGCATGCCGGGGTTTGGATGACCATGAGAGATCCGAATGCCAAACAGGTGGTGCCATCCACTTCCATGTTAGTGACTCGGACCTCTTCTGAAGGTATTTAGACCCACCAAACCTACCTCAAACACCTCCCCGGAAGGCATTTGGAACCCTATGGGGTTGTTTTCCTCAGAGTGTCATGTTCTCATCATTCTTCCTTGCCTCACCGCCCCACTGGATAATTGTTGGCGCCTGCACTGCACTCACAAAATTGTGTAAGGATTTCTGGACGAATGATGCAGCAACCATACCCCAGCAAATATGGACAATACCCTATAGGATTTCAAGCACGATTAACTTAACAACCATTGTTACTGTACTGAGGAAAAAAGGTCAACCAGTTTTTTTAATGGTCGAACGAGTTTTCTTAATGTGGTCGACCGGAAGGCTAGGGCATATATTATATATACTCCAAGAGCTGTTGCTTCAGGAATGTGTAAGCAAAGTACAGCAACCAACACCTTGAAGTTGACATCGTCTAGTTGTAGCCAAGCCTAACCCCAACAAGCCAGCTCTCCAGCGTACCTTCTCCCTTTGGGGCGCTGTTACCCGCAGTCACGTGAGTCTATCCTATTACCTGGGCCCAGGGGATAGGTTGCAGAAGTAGTCCAAAAATAGTGATAATTGTTTACTGACTGTTGCAGGTAAATAGGACCAAACCCAAAGCATATTATGTCTGGACGATGTTTATCGAGCTAAAAGCATGCGTGCACTGGCAAAGGCCGTAATAAGGAGCCGTCTCTATCTAAGGCTGGTCTTTTCTTAGGGCGAAACCCTGAGAGGTGTTCCTTCTCTAGTTTCTAGATCCTACTCTAACAAAAATAGGATATCCACATCTATGTTATATAATATAGCATAATATAGCCTATGGTTCCTATGGTTCCTCTGGCCCATGCGAAACTGCCAAAGACTTCCATAGCAAACAGCGCCCTCTTCATGTCCTGCTCTGTTCCACGCCAGAACATGTCCCACGATCACCCATCACACGATCACCCATCACCCGAGTTCCAAACTCTCACACCGCACCTCATCCCTCAACGCACCCGTCGTCATCATGGCGTTCAGCCGCTCCGGCCGCGGCGGCAGCGGCCGCTGATCAGCCAAAGGCTTCTGCGCCTCCTCAGGCGCCGAGGGAGGCGGAGGCGCCAAAACAAAAGAGACCCAAACACTCCTTTTTTCGTATATGGAATAATTATACCTATACCAGTACATTAGGGTGGTTTTAGGGGTGTGAATGTATGGACATATGTCAGCCCCATGAAGTGTAATATACAGCGATAGGTCTGAGTCTGCTGTAATTACTTGAGTGGAGTTATATAAGTTGATGGTGAAGTGAGTTGAATTGGTGCATGGAGTAAGGAGGCGGGATAAGAAGGAGAAACGGAGGAGAAGGACATGGAGGCAGTCCCAGGTCTTTGACCGAAGGCTTTGGCAGTGGCTTTGGCCAGCATGATCATTTAGCTCCGGTGACTTGGACGTATGGTTGACTTCATGTTACCTCTCAAGTCCCTAGGGCTCCAACCATATCCTCAGAAGGTGGTTAGACCCCCATGGCACCCACCCCAACCACTTTCTCAGGAGGTGGGCCAGGATCCCTAGGGAGTCGTCGTTCATCAAGCTTTCTTCCACATGTACCAAAAACCAGACCGCCGCCTGCGCCAGCCACTTCTTCTCACCTTGGGAAGGCGGTCTGCTCTGAGCCAGGAGCCAGGTAGACCCCGGAAAAAAGACACAAGCATGCAGGGCCAAATTCATGACTCAATCTTGGCCACATTCTTGACTTTGACTTGGATTTGTAAGGATAGCTGGGGGTCAAACACAGCATCCCGTGATCCATGCATGACCAACAAATCATCCGACCCAGTATCCGACCGACCACGGCCCGGCTTGGCTCAGCTGGTCAGGAGCTATGGCTCAGGAGCTCTGCATAGCTCTGCTGCATCACCACTGGTGTCGTTGACCAAACACCCATGCTCTCCTCCCAAATACGGGAGAAACACCCTGGTCAAATCGAACCTCTTTTCAGGCACCTGCCTTGTCCCAAACCGTCTGAGCCATTGGTTCCATCTTCCGGTTCTATTTTTGTATCGTACTGGGTCTAGAAGGTCTAGAGTCTAGCTGACAAATCACTTTGTCTCACTCCTTAACTTGGATTGGCTGTCCCGGAAATGATCCTTCCCCTAAGATCAAGCCCTCCATAGCAGGAGTCTGGACTCTCATTCGGGCCCGGTTCTCAGGATAGGCATCCCCCGAACACAGCAAAAAGCAGGTTAAAGCACCTTCCTTTCAAGGTCTCCAATCGACTACCCTTAGCACTATACCAGTACTTGTGGATCTCCACTTTGCACGTGCAGGTATGCAACTTCTTCCATGTATGGATGGACTGAGCAGCTCGACAGTTGGTGAATGGCAAAGGAAGTCGGTAGATCTGAGCCTCCAAGTACCTTCTGAGGTTCGGTGGGACTGGGGTGGGTGCCAGGAGGGTCCAAAATGCCGAACCTGAGGAGGTACGACGAAGTCGGTGTAGGGGTAGATCTGAGCCTTCACCACCTTCCTTCGTGCATCGTTCCCGTCAGATCGCCGGCTCGTTCACGGTGCCATGACCCACGGCATCGCCGGGCCACATTGCGGCACGTGGATGGGCAAGGACCGCGAGCCGAACCTGGGAGGTGGGGCGGGCTCCGGACGCCAATCAACCCACCTCCAACCTCCCGAGGTTCGGTGGGACTGGGGTGGGTGCCAGGGAGGTCTAACCACCGAACCTGAGGATATGGTTGGAGCCTTAGGGGAGACAAATCCATCGATATTACCCAGACACGACCCATGGGACTGCCATAGGACTGCCGATCAGGCCAGGGGTGGTGCCAGGGGGATCAATGTATGTATATATGGAGTGTCTGGGTTATACTCTCCCATGGCCCATGACAAGCGAAACTTCTCCCAAATACAGCCAGGACTTTGGAAAATACCCTCCCAAATGTTGAATTTGCTTTAGAAACTGGACACAACAACAAACATGCCCCAGTTTGGGGAATTCACCCAGCTGCGGGACATTCAAAAATTACGCGAAACCCACCAGTACCAGGACACTCACGGCCACAAAGGTAGCACATGAGCATCTGGGGCTTGCTGCCCGACATGGCGTCGAATCTGGGGGAAGCCCAGAAGCGCAGAAGACGGAATCTCCGCAGTCCCACCAGGGAAATAAGCCCTGGAACATTCACATAGAACCTGAAGACCACTCGGTTGTAGAGGAAAATGGTCGTCCAAAGTTTCCAGAGGCCTATTTTCAGGTTCCTCTCTCTCCTCACTGCCAGGTCTCTTGTGGAAGGTTGGGGCTCTGTTGGAGGTCTCAATTAGGTGACCTGGCAGGGAGGTAGTGCTGGTATGTATACTAAGTATATAGTTCAGCTCTCTTCGAAGCGAGAAAGCTCGACCGCATAAAATCGAGCAAGGCCTCCTGTGCAGTCTTCCACCCTACATCCAATGATCTCCGAAGCATGGCCTCCTTGCAGTTCTCCTGCCAATGTCTGAACAAAAAGATGAAGTCCTACAGGACGAGCTGCGTCCGAAAAGAAAAAGAGCCCTCTGGAACACTCAACAACTGCGCTCCCACCCATGGTTTGAATCGTAGATGTCTATGTGTCATGACTCATCTCCGAGAGTCTCAAGTTCAGAGACTTGGTGCTTGAGAGAGCGCAAGCAGAACGGCCGATCTGGGTGACCCCTCATTCTGCCTCTTGCCCAGATCCGGGATGTCCACCAAGAATGCATGTCTATAGTCAGTTGTTCATCCCGAAGCCCGGAAGCAACTCACCCTGGATTGAATCTTCGCTCGGCTCCTACCCAAACTTGTTTACAGCATCATCCATTCAGTGGAGAGCAATAGGTTGCATACGGTATATAATTAATAGCACTAGCAGTACCAGTTCCAAAGAACTTCCAAAGGGTCCAGAGCCATCCTGAGGATGTCCTGGATGCCCCAAAGACCCCAAGGAGACCATTCTCAGGAAGTAAATTGAGCTAGAAGACCATCCTCAGGAGCTATTTGGAGTCTATGGGGCTACCTGTAGCTGGCCTCGGCCTTGGAAGACTTGAAGGAAGGAATGAGACAGGATTCTTCGGCAGGATCTACCGCCTGCAGCCAAGGCCAGCATTTCCTTTTCTGATGTAAACAAACGCCATTTCGGCAACCCCTACGAAGCTTTGGGATGGTTACCTTTTACTAAACCAAATTCCTTTCCTAAAAAACACACACAATGCGTTTAAAGATTTTAAGGGCAAATCATGTCCTTGACCTGCAAAGCTTAGTAGGGGTGACTTTCAACAAATACATATCTGGAAGGAGGAACATGTGTTTGGATGTATCCGTTTGGTACATGTGATGCCATGTCACATATTTTTCCCATTGGAGTGGTTCACATTCATATCTTCGACACTGTGCGATTAAGCTATCAGCCGTTTCATCTATTTGACGACTGGAAGAAGAAAAGCGCTTGATTCCCTCTCTATCACCTGTGATTATGACACCCGCATCAATCCAGTCACCACTAGAAGTCTGTACAATTGTGCTACCGAATTTAGGAGACTACCTCCTGACAAGATGGTTGGGGTGGGTTTGGGGGGTCTAACCACCTAACCTGAGAATATGGTTGGAGCCCTAGGGACAGGACCTTCATAGGAAGTCATTGCATGATCTGAAAGGACCCAACCGGCCCCAAGGACTAGGCTTGAAGCGGACATGAATGCTTTCATCCAATTACACTCCGGCATCAATTCCATGAATTTGATAGCTCCCAGACCATCCATAGTGTGAAATAGTTACATACATCCGCGTCATCCATGGGGTACATCTAATATCTATAGTACCATGTGATATCATGTGATATCTATTCCATGCATGGAAAGATCGCTTCGGCTTCGTTGGAGCCGTTGGAGCCGCTCTTGAGCTCGCCTTGGCGCCCCACTCGCGGGAAGAGACCAAGCACCTGGGCGACCGGGCGTGGCCTCGCTGGGTGGGTCTACGTCGGAGTCAATGTCGTCACTAACCCATACACTCATGGAGTGTATGGGTAAAGGCATCAACAAAAAACGGCTGCAATAGATCGAGCCTTATCCTTCTACCTATAGTTTGTAGAGGAGAAAAATGGAGAAAGGGTGCCAGTCTTCGATGGTGTTTCCACGAGTGTCTGAAAAAGATCACTACGGTCCCTGACAATCTTCGTTGGAATCCTCCTTTGGAGCCGGAATCGGATTTGTCGGGTGATGTTCATCCACCATTCGTCTTGACTTTTGTTGAAGGACTTTTGAAAAGGCCACGCTTGCCACCATTCAGTTTCTTCATCCATATTATTATATTAATCTATCCGCAGAAAGCCGCGGACTCCGCCCGTTTCCTTTGCCACGTGCCGTGCCAGGCACTGATGTCCCAAAGTCCCGCGACACGCTGCCCAAAGCTCCACGCTGAAGGAACCTGCACCGCTCCACGCGGAGCCGAGGGCGGAACATGGTTCACCGGGGAATTGAAACAGAAAGACGCTGCATTACCCTAGGGCTCCAACCACCTCCTGAGAAAGTGGTTGGGGTGGGTTTTGGGGGTCTAACCACCTTCTGAGGATATGGTTGGAGCCCTAGGGTTATATCCCAAACACTCCATGGGACTGCCGTATGTGCCGCCCCATTGGGGTGGTTTGGGGGGTCAATGTAGGCATATATGTCTGGGTAGTTCAATGGGTTCTTCTCACCTTAAAAAGGTCGGGCTCCCGGTAGGTCAACTACTTCTCAGAGACCACCGCGTGCTCGCGCTGTGTCGCGCTCGCGTCCCACCGGTGGGGTTCGCGGAGCGGTGGAAGGGCAAATCCACCGAGTTGCCTTCGAAGAGCCACCTTAGCGGTGGATGGGCGAAGCGGAGTGGTGCGGACATGGGGAAAACTCAAGTACAACTGCAGGACATGAATGTCTGGGAGTTACTGGACATGTCTGGGAGTTAGTTGGCTGCTTTGGAAGCAGTCAAAGACATTTTTCCGAAGCTTCGGGGAGTCACCCAGTTCCACCGGGTGAACCCCCGCAACCCCGCTGAGGCACACCAACGGGGTGCAGCCGGAGTGCACCACCCTGGTAACAACGGTGAGGTGAGGGTCGTCCATTGACCGTCCCTTAACATAGATGCTACCAGGGCCCCTCAAAACCATTCAAAATAGAGGTTTTCATATTAAAAAACCATGTTTTTTGCTAGGGAAAACCAGGTTTTGGATGGTTTATGGGGCCCCTAGGCGGTTATCTCATCCTCCATGTTCATGAAGGTGAGCAAATACTTGTGGACAGTCTCCTAGGTCACACAAAGAAGATGATACATGAGCCGATGATGTGCCAAGATCAACCAGCTGTGCTGGGAAAGAAGATCTGACACCAAAAGATTTGACATGCAGCCAATCGGCCAAATGATCTGTTCAAAATGCATGTTGGAATATGTTGGGGTATATCCAACAGAGGTTGAAGGACCTTATAGACTATCCCAGTTCGGTACCGATGACGGGTCCTATTTACGGTCACTGGCTACCTCTGTTGGATCCCATTACCCGCAACAGTGGATGATGTGGTTTTTCAGAGGTCCTGGTCAAACAAAGCACCGGTTCGGTCCATGATGGTCCCTGGGTATCTCTCAGAATTCGGACACTGTTAGCCTAACTCTCGACCTGTTCTTGCTAAGTGGAGATAGTGGAGGAACAAATCCAAAACACAGGTTATCCACTCTTGGATGAGTCCCCGGAAGTCCTCATGGAAAAGACTTACGGAAGACCAAAACTCTTAGCTGGCTTCAGGCAACAAGGTCCACCTCTTTGTTTGACGGTTGGCTGTGGTTGGCTGAGGGTGTTCTCTCTCTATTTAATGCCCACCAAAATAAACATTTGCTTTAGCAAAGGGCTCACAGCCAAAGACTCCAACTTTGGGGATACAGATTGACTCGGATCAACTCTACCCACATCATTCCACCCATCACTTGAAGGCTTGCCCAGCCCATGCTTGGTCCAAGAATCTAACACATTGCCACCCTTCGAACACGACAAATCCCCAATGATCAAGTTTTCTCTGAAAAAAAGTGTTCCAATTTATAACCCATCCCAGGGCCCTCCGGAGCCAGGGGTGGTAGACATGGATACCCCGAATCACCTCTGTTTGGAGCTGTTAATGGATACATCCCTGGCCCGAAGGCCTTGGTCCACAACTCTTCCAGTTCCATGAACGGTAAATCGATTTCTCTGGTCTTCCCGGCGGACTTCCCCCTTTGGCTTTGACACCCGACCCTTTCTTTTCTTCGGTCCATCAGCGCGCCGCGGAGCGGAGCTTGCTGTCCCCCATGGGACGCATCCCGCCTCGTTCTGCCACTGGGCCAGCGGATGGAGACGGTCCAACTACTCCGCGTTTGCGGAGCGATGACTGTCAGCACACCCGGGGAGGTGCGCCAGTGGTGTGACTGATTAAAACAAAATCACGAGTGGTGCCACTAGGGAGGAAGCACTGGGAAGGAAACTGAAGGAAAGCCATTCAGGCTGGTCAAGGGCGGGTTGATATGTTAACCGCCTGAATAGGCATGCATTTCAAATTAATGCTCCAAGCTAAGCTGATCGGCTTCCTCTGCTAGTGGACTCATCTCCCATGTGATCATCAGGCCGGAGTCACTAGGGAAATGGAACTGCGAGTGTGGACATCGATGTGAAGTCATAACTTAAGTAAATCCATACCAAGCACTTAAGTTGGGGGGATGTTGGGGAGTTGAGAGTTGCATCTGATTGTGAAAGTGATGAAGAACCCCCATCAGAAACGTCATCCATTTGTTTGCGTGCCTTCCAAAAGAATTCTGAAACGATTCAAACGATGGGCACGGTGTTCACCGGTGAGTCTGGTCGGACCTCTTAGGTGGACAGTTCACTCAGCGAGTCAAGCAGGATATACACGATCCCTTCTGTTCCAACATGATCCCTTCCGCCGGGGGCATGGCAGTTCTTTGGGGAGCAACCCACCAACAAGCTCGTCCGTCTACTCCCATCATCTCCCATCCAACACTGGTGTTCTCACCACAGGTACCACGACCTGTTCTCCATCAACACGCAGTTCTGAAAGAAGCTTATAGCTGGATGTGAGGGGTCCAAGTCCAAGGATCAGTGGCGGGAGTAGCATGGAGTCGTAGGGTGCTTGGGACACTCATGGAAGACTTCATTTAGAGCACCCTGGCTCCGTTTAGATCAAAAGATTCCAGTTTCTTCAGCAGTCTTCTTTCCCTTCAGAAAGGCCGATGCTGAGTTGATCCACACAGCTTCTGCGCTTCTGCGCCATTCGCATGTTTGTGCCAATTCGCTCCAGCTGGATGGGCAGCGAAGCGATCCTTCTATTCTCTCGTTGTGGTTGGTGAACTCTCTGTAGCTCCTTGGCTTCCTAGTAGCGTCCTTGCTCCTAGTAGTAAGGCCAGGAGCCCCTAGTAGCATCATCTACCCTGTTGATGGGGGAAGGACTGGATACCCTGGGCGACCATCGCTTCCTCCGGCGTTTGCACCCGCGAAGTGTTAGCACCGAATGGTACCATCATACTCTGCGGCTTGGAGCCGTCAACCAGGTCGCAACTCGGAGTGGTTCTGTCGCCTGTGAACCGAACCGGTCGTTTGGAGTTGTTGGGTCATTTGTTGTTTTATTGTTTATTTTTTCTCACCAGGGCATCCAGGCAAACCACGATGTCGCCGGGAGTCCAAGTTGGTTCCAGTTCGACTAAAACCAGTTCGACCGAACGAGGGCCCCTGGTTCCTTATATAGTTGGGGCATTGGGCCATGTCTCCCTAGCAGGTCTTCGTGCCACCCAGAATCTGGAGGTCCTGAAATCGCCTAGGAAAGACATGTCCGAACAGTTCGCCCCTGCAATGGCGAGTTCCTCCAGGTAAGTCCTGACACCTCCTGGAGAGCCTCAGGCAAAGCTCCACAAGTTTTTTTGATCAAGCCGCCCAAGGGGGCAGGGGCCCATTGACCTCGAAGGACCAAACGGCTTCAAACATGGACTAGTGACTACGACCCTGGGGCGATTCCTTTTTTTTTCCGCCTCTGCGTGGCAGCTGTGGAGTCCTATTCGGGTGGCATGCGGGTCTTGGAAAGCAGTTTTGGAGATGAAAGTAGAATCTGAAAATGGACCACTCTTCGGGTTTCTACGTTTCACTTCCCCACATTAGATTCAAAAACCTGGACCCTCAAAGTACTTTAGAAAATGGGACATGACCCCACCAAAACAGGTACTTGTACCCATTCTTCAAAGGTAATCTATAAAGATCAAGAACACCAACTGCACGGGAAGAAACCTCGGATGAGTATGGATGAGTGCAACCTAGTGCAAAAATTGGATCCCTGTCAACGTGAAGGTGCCAATTCAACCAACCAAAATGAAAAAAATGGAAAAAACAACAACGATTCACCACACATCTCATCAATCTCATGCACCCCGGACGAATACTTCGGGTCCGGTGACCCACAACGTCGGACCCGATCGGACCCGCGGATGCGCATGACACGCAGAGTACCAGCTGGGGAGCAAGGCACGCCAGTACTCACTCCAGTCCTGGAAAGCATGCATACCCATTTATAGCCCTACGCCTTTTTTTCGGCCTCCACTGCCTAACAAGCGATTTGAGGGAATGCGCGCAAAGGCTCAGTCTCGCTAGGGATCTTGGACGAAACCAACATGCACGAGTAGCAATCAGATTGGGTCCACTCATGAGCCTCTGGTGGAGAGACATCTTACTGCAGGTCTGACTGACAAGCCGTTCTGGACCTGAGTCGAGGTCATGGTGGGAAACTCGGACAGTTGCATATATGCTGTATTATAAGTAAGGGAAAGCACCACGAGTTCCAGCGCGATCGAGCCATCGGAGCCCCCCATGTTTCATGCAAGGAATTCGTTGCTTTCGTGTGGTTGAGCTACATTAACCAGACGGTACTCACATGGAAAACCCAGCAACTCAAGCTGCTTGTGGAATCTCCAAGTGAGATGTCTCGGATTTCCATAGCCCAAAAAGCCCTTGCAGCAGTTGGTAATTTTAAAATATATACAATATCTTACCGTGTTCCAAAAGGCTGTCACCTCAGGTTCTGACCCCTTCAGTTGCCAAAACCTTTCAAGGACGGGGAACCCAATCCCCAACACTTTCGATCAGGTTACCCTTGAACACGAAAACGGACGTGGAATTTTTATCCACCTCTATCGACCCAGGCTTTCAAGCTCACTTGATTCAAATGGGGTTGACAGAACCATCAGAACAACTTGTGTTTACTTTAAGTATTTTTCTCTATATAATAAGGATTTAAGTCGACTACAAGCCAAGTTATTTCAATGGTCAAACCGAAGGCGAACGAGTCTAGGGCGATTGGAGCGCGGGATTTTTTCCGGTTGAACGACTCACGAGTGGTGCTTTCTCCAAAACTCCTGAGGTCAGTCAAAGACAAAAATCGTCTTGATCAACTTGTTGAATTGCCTTCAGAATGAGAGTTTGCTGCGAGTGCTTACACATGTTTACACATCCTCCTTAGATCCTGAAAGCATGAAAGTGAGGCACTCAAGAACCACGGGACGAGCAAGTGCCCAGGGGTGCCCGGGGCTCGGGATGCTCGCGCGCCGGCTGATGCTACTGGACGGTGCCCGGCATGTCAACAGCCATGGGCCTTGGTCGGAGGTGCTGGGACATGTCTCTGCGATTCTTGGCTGTTTGGGGCTATACACTCCCCGCAATCATCCAGGGTTATGTGGATGGTATGGCCCTGACAGGATTACCAACACAAACTCTCGATCCAAGTGCCTCCTCCGAGAACACCCACGGCCGGCCACTTCTGAATTCTTCTCTCACACCAACTCAGTTCCCCATCCCTCTGAATCACCCCCCATCCCGGATCTTTGGCACCACACCCCCGCGCGCGCGCGGGCTGAGATGACCGGCGAGCTGGGGACTGGCCCCTGCGGTGTCGGCGGGATCTCCGGCGGAACCTCCATGACGGGGACCTGGCCACGTGGACGGCCGGGCGGTCCGGTGGACGCCCCGGGTCGGCTGTTCACCCGGAGGTTCGTCCCCGTGGTCGGTCAAAAGGTTCTTTGGACCCACCCCAGGCGCTCAAACGCTCACGACGCGAAAACCTCATATGAAGGGGTCGGACCCGAATCCTCTCTCTGGAGACTCCTCTGGGGTCGAACAAAATCCGGTTTTGATAGGCCAAGGGCTGTGAACGGAGCATCTGGGCATGAAGAACATCTGAGTTTATTGGAGACATCTGGAAGAAAAGAACGTTCTGGACCCGCAAGACCATGACAAATATGGCTGCATCTTTCATACCCAAACATGGCCGAGTGATCCCGTATACCTGTCATCCCAAATGTAATCTGCTCCAAGCAAGACAGGTATCGATGGCGTTTTTACCAGGACCCTCCTGTCGGGGTGCCCTGTCTGGAAGCCGAACGGCCGGTAGTGTGGGGTAGTCCAGCCAGGACACCCCGAAGGTCGGAGGGTCCAGGTATAAGTCCTTTAGTTCTTTTTGTGGCCAAACATGGAGATAGTTCTCGACCTTGCGAGTGGCTTCTCGGTTACTGGAGGTCCCTTTTTGTTCAGGTGCGCACTACTTGCCGCTTTTGCATGCAAAAGTGCACTCCTACCCATGCTCTTGATGGGTTTACCAATTGGTGTACCTTCAAAAGTCAGCACCAAAGCTGTTTCGTCCAGCTGGTTTACTTGCTGGTGGAACCCCAAATCTCCAGCAAATACTTGAATCATTTGAGCAAGTTGCTGCAAGGCTTCAAGGTGTCAGATTTATCCAGCACACTTTATATACATATTGGAACCCTCGCGGGCCCGTCGATGCTTCATCTTCGATTGGGTTGATTCGATTACTGTCGGGAAGCTTAGGACCGTTTTTATGTAAGCCTGGACCCTCCAACGACAAGAATTTTCTTATAGTTTTTGTTTTTGACTACATTTTGCAAGCAAAAACTGTAAACGCTACAACCGCTAAGAACGACATAGTTTCCTGGATTCTCGTAATTTACTTCAGTTTTGGTGTCCTGACTGCCAAAGGTTAAGATGGGACGCTTGACAAGAATTACCCGCAAAACGCCCGCAAATATCCCGCAAACGCTAGCAAATACCCGCAAACGCCCGCAAATCACATTTCCTTGTCGTTCCAGTTGTTTTCTCTCTGTTTGACTGTGCCGGTAATGTTTTTACGAAACGCTAGGTTTGTTATCGAATCGACAAGAATGACATGATTTTTTGTCAAACGATTGATTTCAACAAACGACGAGAAATCTCTTTGCATTGGAGGTTCAAGGAGTGTGATTTTGGGGGGGCACTTACCCTCCAAGCTGTGCAAAACAAGGGAACTTGGGCTTCCGGATTGCCAACCAACACCGCTCTTAGAGTCCTCGCCATCTGAACGACTGGGGTAGCTTCACGGCTGGAGCCCGAGTTCGAGACCTATCCACCTCCCAATGCATCGACACTATCGTGCCACCCCAACTGGCCTCCGAGCCGTTTTTCATAGAAAAACTCTGCCATCGATTTCAAGTTCAACCACCCTGTTTCAACCTGGAAACGCCGTCCCAAGATCAAGCAACAACAAGGTTACTTCCAAGTACGGCTTCCTTCCAAACCCCGCTGCAGTCGGAAGCGGCACTCTTCCAGTGGCTGGGACTGCGCCATCCCATCCCGCCTTCGCTATTTGCTCCTTGGATCCCTTGGCACGTCCCGACTTCCGTAGGGAATTCTGCAGGGCCTGACGGATGCCACCGTGCGTGCGAAAGGGAGGATGCTTTGGGCAGCTGCAGGTGGTTTGGTGATGGGCGGCTCCATTTCTTCACTTATATTTAAAAAAAGGACATGTAGCTTGACCAACAAAAATCATCAAACATCCAACAGTTTGATGAACGAGAGGACCTGACATGATCGCCGAAATCAAATCGTAGAGTCCGTAGAGTGCTTTTTTCAGGGCGGCCATGAATGGAGGCAACCTAAATCCTGACGGCGGTACCCTACAGCACAATGAACCATGCCTCGGCGGGTGCTGAGGCGGGACAATCAATGCGACCTTCTTTTAACGCTGCTCTCCCTCTATCTCGGCAAAGTCTGGCTCTTGCCATTTCTGTTGCCATTTCTCCGGCTGTGCCAGAACCGAAATGCCGAAAGGCAGTGCTGCGAACGCCGGTCTCTCTTTGGCACGGCGGTCGTGGCCAATCGTAGCGAATTTCCTGCGGCCACTCAGAGGAGTCGCTAGTTTGCCACGAAGAGGGGTGAGCAAACCAAGGTGATGGTGGAAAGAAGCTTGATGAGAACCTCGATTTCCGCGCTTTGATCGGTTTTGGATCAAACCCCTTGAGCCGAAGAACCCGCGAAGGCTAAGGCTTCATGGTCCATGGACTATCCTCACCACTGGTGATCGGTCCCACGAAGCGCTGCAAGCAGCGCTGCGCTGCGGAACCAGCGCTCCGAGTGCTAAACTTTTGGGGGGGCGGAAAAGTGTTCAACTTACGAACCACTAAATATCGAGGTCAGTGGGATCGAAACCACCGCCAGCCAGTTCTCTTTTTCGCTTCGTTGAAGCGACCATGGCATTGGTTGGACCAACACCGCCCCCACACCAACTAAGCAATAAGAACATCAAGTTGTTGCTTGGGGCGCGTCCGGGAGGGCGCAAAAAACTACAAGTGGCCAGCTGGGCCACGCTGGGCCACATGCCGAATCCCAATTCAAAACATCCACGTCCAAAAAGATCACACCCTGACCCCCTCAGTTTTCCTCAGAGAAAAGGTTAACCTCTTTTCACCTCAGAGACAAGGTTTAGTGAGGAAACCAATCCCGAAAAAAGGTTAAAGGTTATCCACTGACTGGGTAGGCACCCAAACAAGAGTCAAACACAAACACAAACTGTGTGCAGTCAGGGTCCTTTCCAATGAACGTCCCTAAGTCAAATGACATGCCAATTGCCTGTGGGCCTATGGGCATCTGCAACTCTTGTTTGCCACACTGAAGAGGACCCTCACTGCATGCTTCTCAGCAAAGCCGGGCACAAGCAGCAAGAAGATACTAACAGCACCCGACTCTACAGGTCTCTTCTGGGTTTTTGGAAAAAGTGGGAGGTGGAGACCTGGCAGGTTTCGGGCTCTTCCAGTCCCAAAGGCGACATCCAAAAGGAACTGGGGAAAAACATACAGCTTCACCTACCAGGGCCCCCGGTGCCAGGGGTGGTTAATGGACATCCCGAATCACCTCTAAAGAGTTAGTCCATTGGGCACCCCGACACCGGGCGCCCTGGTAGTTGTCCTTGACAAGAAGATAGTGTTTCTGGTTTTCACGGGTTCAGGGTATGTCCACCCCCAAGTAGACTAAACAACTTGTAGACACGTCGAGCAGACTAAACACATACACATCCGGAAAATTAACATAGAGCCCGAGAGACACTGGGTTGCAAAGGAAGATAGCCTTCCAGTCTGGTCCATGCCAAGCCCGGTTCCATGTGAGTCTTCCCGGGTGTATCTGGAACCAAAGCCACTTCGACCCTCGAGGGGTCCAGTCGTCTGTACCGGACCCTGAGAGGGTACGACTGGGACGACTTGCTTCCAGACCAGGTGTTTCCGATATGTCCTTCTTCACTTTCTCCAAAGGGTTGCAGTACCCAAACCATCCAGGCTCCCACGAGAGCTCGCTCGCTGGTGGTCCCAGTTCGACCGAACGAATCCCTGGTTCTTTATATGCTTCCTTCCACCAACAGCACTGGAGCCAGTTCTTTTCCACGCCCAGGCGCATGGAGCGATGGTCCGGCCGTGTCCTTGCTGGGATCTCCCACGGTGTCGCCAGTCACCGCCGCCTTATGCGCAGCGGAGCCCTTGCCGCCATGCACGCCCTGCTCGATGTACTTCTTGGCATTGTCCCAGGCACCCCCTTGCAGGGTGGTGTGGGTGCCGGACCGCACGGGAACTGGTGTCCAACAGCCTGGAGGTCCTGGCTGCTAAGGGTGAAAAACCTCTTTATAGAAGTGGGTTGTGCAAAAATAACCCAAAAGATCCAAAAAGGACTTTAAGGGTCTAAGACTCATGAGGAAAAGCAAGTAAAGGTTCGGTACTCTCGGGGCCACCGGGAAAGGAACATCCAGCTGTTCCGGATGATTAAGAACCTTTGGGACCTTTGTTTCAGGAAAAAATCTGCATGAATAAAGCCATAGTTTTGGGGATGAGCGCCATGGGTTGCTTGTAGATGTTCCCTGAACCAGATACTGGGAAGGTGCCTCACCTATCCTAACTACAGCCTCGGAAGGTGGTTTGCTCCAAGGTGGTTTTGCCAGGATGGACATGATGGACTTCTGAAAGTCAGGGCACATCGCAGCCATGCTTTCCCTCCCTAGAGGTCGACGGAGTTCGGCTCAATTTACTGGAGTTGATATGCAGAAAACCTCCTTAGAACTAGTGAGGTTTTCGGGGATATACTGCCAAGAGATGTACAGAACTACTCAGTGCATGACTATCTGGTCTTCATGCCATGTCAGCCAAGGGTTGCTTTCCACGGTGGTACAATCGGACATCACCACAATCGGACATCACCGTCCGCCAGGGCGGCCGGAGTTGCCCCGCAACCCGTTCGCGGCGGTTTCGGTTGGCCGCTCCGATGCGGTGCCAGACTGGAGACCTATCCCGGTGGGATCCTGTGGGTCCGTCCAGCGAACCACCTGGCCTGCTGTATTCAGGAAGATTGCGAACAGGACACCGGAGGAGGTGGCAAACATCAAGAAGCTTGCAATGGCCTGGCGGTCCGAACGGGCCGCGGTCGAAGGAGACGGCTGTCCCAATTTTGTTCGACTCACCGTTTGTGTGATGTGAAGTGGGTGGGTGGACTTATCGATACCGCTTTTCTGAACATGTAGATGGCATAAGGATGGCAAGAGAGAAACAAAACATACTATGACCAGGATATGCCCTACTTGATGGGTACAGCCCGTGTGCTTCCTGTGTGCTTCCACTATTTCCTATGATGCCAGCTGCTCTATACCCTTTGTTGTTGGACGATGTGTTCAAGCCCGAAACCGCTGCTCCCTCGAAGTCCGATGACGGAGCTACCATTGCCCTCGTGAAGTGACGGAGCTACCATGACCTACCCGATTCAGCAAGACAAAGCAACTACAATTGCTGCTCTCCTTGCAATGGCTCGAGCCTTGCCGAACACATGGCCAAGAGTAGAAATGCTGCAAATATGTTGCAGAATTTGGCAAGGTTTGGGAACCCATCTCAAGTGGGAAGTAGCTCTCCGGGGTGTCCCCCATCCCCCAAAAAGCATTCTTTTTAAAGGTGCTCCACTTTTCCTGGGTGGCAGGACCCAACCTCCTACAGGTAGCTTCAACCTGCTTCCTGACTCCCGATTCTGCGAACCTTCCACCTGGTTCTCGTTTGGTGCTTTGGCCCTGCATGCGATCGATGAGCCAAGCACGCTCCCAGCGGAGCAACATCCCACCCCCATCAGCAGCAGACAGAAGGCCCGCGGCTGCCTTGGCTCCGATAAGCTTGTCGTTGCTGCTGCTGGTCAGCCGAAAGAAGAAGCCCACGCAGAGTGGCACCGTGGTCGCCACAATGCCTGGATACGAGGCCAGGGGGCTCAGGGTCGAATGGTCGCGGCAGGGTAAAGGTCCAAAATGGTAAAGATCTCCCTACCTAGCACTTCCAATGGGTGCCCAATGGAGACCCATAAATAGGGTAGGGTAGTCTAGCCAGGACACCCAGAACGGATGACCCTGGTAGCAGCACATTGGTCCCAATGTCGCACTTCGTTCAATTGGACCCAAAGGCCTTGCAAGAGCAAGGCACCTATCATCCGTTCTGAGTGTCCTGGATTAGGGGTCCAGAAGTACCACCAGTGGGCTGGGTAGCCAGGCGATCTGGTTTCCAAATGATCGAAACTGATTGAAGATATGATGCGCAGTTTGTTCACGAAAAAAATCAACTCAACCTCTTGCCTGGCGCGACCATTTCACGGAGGGCCGCTTGGGTCACGATGGTGACCTGGGCTGGCGGATGGACCGCTTGAGTCTACCTCAGAACGAGGAAAACCAAACCCTGATGAAGCCTGCACTTCTCCCCAAAAAGCTATGGGTTTCCTGTAGATGTTGCCTTAAACATCTTAAACCAACCAATTCTGGGATTCATATGGTCCTGTTCCATGACTTGAGGCGAACGGAAGGCTCATTGAAGACTCCAGGCATTCAAACTCTGGTCAATCCGAGAATCATGAACATCACCCATTGTAAAGGAGAACAACCTTCCAAGGAACCATGCACTTCACAGAACATGACAGTAAACTTTGTGGAGTCTAGTCTCACAGCGGCACGGAAAATGTGTGCAAAACTATATGAGTGTTCAACCATCAAAACCCAAAGATGTGGTACAAAACCCAGGCAAAGCCTCCCATCTAACAGTTAACACCAGCTCCCAGCCCAGAGACTGGTATTAATGATGCTACTACACTTGCAACTATAGGGTAAATCACTTCGTTTGGCAAAAAAACACATTAAAGATCGATATGTGTTAAATATATGATGTTTGAAGCATGTGTTATGTTGACATATCAGAGATTTTAATAACTATTGGTTCCTACAGATTCCAGCTTCCGCTTCCAGGGTCGCTTCCTCCCGCCGAGCCGACGCAGGAGGCGTAGTCCGGCTTCTGCGAGCCGTCCATGATGCCCGGCCGCTCGCGGAACTGCGTCCGCACGTTGTTGACCACCTCCTGGCGACGATTTCCTCCACCCCCAGGGCCCCAGACTGGAAGATGGTTCGGGCCATAGGGATCCATAGGGCATGTGAATGTTCGTTGGTTGTTTCGATTTTTTGTGCCCCCTTGCTGTTCGGACCACATGGAACCCCCAAAACCACGGGGTTTGCGGTCTTCGGAAAAGGGTCGAAACAATGGGTCAAGACAACAGGGCGATATGTTTGCCGGAAAGGCTTTGGGTTCTGAGGGTGGGGAGATTGGTGGAGATTGATAGTGGGAGTTGGGGCAGGGAAGTGTGAGAGGAGCTGGGAAAGAACATCTCAGCATGATCGTTATGAATAATGGCCTACTAAACCTATGGCATCCGATTTAGTGTTCTGTCGACGCCCGTGTGCTCTTCGGACCTCTTTGTTCTATTCTATTCGCTCCACACCAGCACGGAAACAGGGGCCCCAGATCGGACACATGCACGTTCGAAAGTCAGGAGACCGTTGAGCCATGTGGACCCGGAGTAGGGCATGGTTATAGACAGTGGTTTCAGAGTAGGTATGAGTAGGTAGACAGCGGAAACCTCAAAATGTCCTAGACATATGGGGGTGCATTCTGAAGCGCCCAACTTGGGGATTGTGCCACTATAGTAGTGTATATTAGTGTATATATATATACATATAGTACAGTATAATATATATATATACAATAGATCTTATCGTACTATACACCCCTTACCACCAACTGGCACCCAGCCACTCGGCAATTCCGCGCTTTTTGCGCCGATGGTCTCGTCCTGTGCTGCGGACCCCACGGCAGTCATGCATTGGCCACCTGAGGGATGCGGCGACCCGCTTCCGTGCCACTCAACCCAGAAAGACTTGTCCGGCCTGGCTGACGTGTGGCAATTTGGAAGCGCTCTCGCTCAATGGATGTCTTCACACTTCTCTTCACCCTCAAAACGATGGGTTTCCTGTAGAGTGCGATGCTCAACCACCGGTGCGCGAATCCTCACCAGCAGCCTGCGCGCGTCGCAAACGTGGCACGCGGGCGTCGCGGGCGACGCCAAGCGCCGAGCCGCTGAAGTAGAAGACCAGCGTGGCGCCAGCGATGCCGCCGAGGAAGACCTCGGGCACCGAGATGTCCACGGCGTCCACCTTGTGGCCCGCCAGCTCCTGACCGGTGAGGAGCGGACGGTGAGGAGCTAAATGGGCTGTTTAGCTGTCCCAGGGATTCCGAAATCGGAGATGTGGACCCCAAATCGACGTTGGACAAACAGGCCAAACATTGCAAAACAATGGATGACTCTGGAGTCCGGAGGGTTGGTTTATGTTGGTTTTGATGCCATTGGTCTGCAAAAAGGATCCGGCAGCCCGGAAGTGAGGGCAAACCTGAGTCCGGCAGCTCTGAACGGCAAACCTGCCCATAGCCTTAGAGCCATCTCAGTAGCCTCTCCCGCTGGACACCTCCTCAGTGTCTGAGTATATTGCAGTAAACCTGGGAAGATGAACATGGAAGCTGAAAACATTCAGGTTCCATGTTATTCTTCCATGGCCTTTTCTGCGTTTCTTTGTGTTTCACCTGTTGTGCCAGTCTAGCTGAGAGGTCATCCTGGTTTTGTCCTGGCCGGCTCATGGCCTCATGGCCTTTGATGATTTTGAGGGGCATAGATCCCCCCCCACTCAAACCACTTACCGCCTGGCTTAATCCTGTGTCACCAGGCCTACAGTGACATGCCAATGAATGATGCTCCTAGTCTGGCACCAGGACAGCCAAGCATCGGACACTTCATCCAAGAATGCCGAGAAGAGCAGGAAACACGCCTTGGACCATCTTGTTGTCTTCGATACGTGGTGGAATCTACCAATGTTTCTCGCAGACTTGCGGTTGTTGTGAACCACTGTGCAAGTTATGGCATGGCCAGCAGCTTCAAACCTAACCATGTTGGAAGCTCAATACAGGTAGCACAAAGTCGCCAGGTCACGCTTGAAGCTCAAACACCAATTGATGAGCCATTTCTACCCTGCACCTGCATTCATCTCCACAGGCTGGTCAACATTCTCGTCGCGTTTTGGAGAACATCCGAGCTAGCATGGTATTGGATGGGAATTGAATCACTTGATGGTTTGCCACCTATAATCATCCAATGATCCAATGCCAATTCTTTCACCCCAACAATCACCTCGAGACATGATTGTCCACCTAATTTTGCAGAATCATAGAGGGCTCAGTTTGGTACCATCTACCAGTACCACACGACCACAGGTACCCCATCTATTCACCAACCAACCAACAGCGAAAGGCCATCTATGGGTCCACCTTCCCTTTTGAATCTACCTACCATCTCATGTTCGGTACAGCTGAACCCTCCTGGCACCTACATGAAGTGGTTCCATGAAGCCATAGGGCTTCCCAGACTCCCAGACCATCCATGGAACTGGAATAATTACATTCTCATGGATGGTCTGGGTTTGGGATCACTTTTTCTTCTCTTCTTCCACCTTGGAACAAAGGCGCCAAGCTGGCAGAGCCCACGGAGAAGCCCTTGGTGATGGCCTAAACCGCACGGGAGGTCACCGCGACAGCAAACGGGAGTGGTGACGATCTCTGTCCGACCCGGCTCAGATGTATACAGCCAGAAACCCAAACAACCGTTGTGTTACTATAAGGGTTTTACTACAAAACCAGGTCAACCTATATTGTGAATGGCCTTTGAGCTGTGTAAAATTAATATCATTTTACAACCATCCAGGAGTAGATAGAATGCGAACCAATCCAAAAACGGGGACAGTTTTCTAGTTGGTTTTGGATTCTGGATGTTCCATGATTTCCAGGAAGACTCCTGTATATAATGTTCCCTGTCAGCACTGAAGACCCCAACTAACATATCCAAAAACCTTTCCGGTGTTTCCTGGGGAATTGCATGTAACTTCTGCTTTGCGGTAGCTTCAAGAAAAGGTCCAAAAACACTGTTAACCTGGCCTGGGGTACCCACAAAGTTTGCAATTTTGGTCGACCACATGACCATTTTAGAGGGCTATGTTAGTCCTTGCGACTAAGGATTTTGCTGTCACCCTGCATGGGTCATGGATTTTTGTCCATGCTTCTAGTTGCTAACGTGTTTAGGAGCCAAAACATAGTCGTGTCCTTTCAAGACCAAGGTCAAATGGGTCCGCTCTGTGTATATATGTTTAGGGGATGCCTTTCAAAACTGAAAGGTGGTGTTGCTTTCTGTTGTTGGGTTGAACGTGCTCGAGCATGGAGGTCACCTTCTTCGTTCACTCAAAAGTCGTCTCCGAATGGTTGGATCACCTCCCCGCATCAAAGCTCTGTAAAACACATTCCCTGTCAGAGTCATCCAAACATACTTCCTTGCAAAGGACCACATGGAACTCCAAAACCACTGAGTTGTAAAGGAAAATTGTCTTCCACGGATGAATGTGCAGAGTCCATGTTGGTCTGCGGGGAGTAAAACTCAGGGATGTTCACAGTTCAAAACATAAGGCTGCTTGACTTGGCACAGTGACGTGCTAAGACAGAGGCACCGGCTTGCAACAGAAAGCACATGTCATGCATTGTCATGCTACAAGTCTTCTAGCTATCCTGCAGGAATGTTTTGGCTTCGTGCAGGTGTCTTTGGGGGGTCTTGAAATGCCCTTTAAATAAGTGTAGACCTGATGTGTCTTACACATGTGGGTTTGCATAAAATAAAAGACCTCCCAGTTCGACTCCCTGGAAGAAGGACCAGACCCCGTTTGCCTGGAGGTCCCCCTCTCAAAACACACACCCATGTAGAATCCGCTGTTGTGCACTCCTACACCGCCACCTTGGTGGTGTTCCCCACAGCATCCAGGCTGTCGGTGATGTCCCGCACACTCTCCTGAACAGACGCCGGTGATAGACAACTGCAAGACCAGCGCCCAATCAACGGGCGCCAAAGTGGTTGAAAGAGTAGCAGGTAGCATCATAGGGTCACACACAACTTTTGAATTCCTCAAACTGAAACTGGGGGGTTTAATACCAAAGGATCGAGTGGTCAAGAGGAATGCATGTGATGCCCCGTTCTGCCCAAGGCAGAACGAAGATGAAGCAGGGGCAACAACTATGATGAATTTCTGGGAAAACAAAGCAGGTTAAGCACAGGCCTCTGGGGTTCAAATCATATATTCAACCCACCCAAAACCAAAAAATGATCTCAGTGCGGGTTCACCGTCTTACTTATGGCTGGTGGGTGGTTCCATTTTAAAACATCACTCAGAATTCCCAAAGCCAAAGATTTCTGGTGCTCTGAAGGCCCAAGTCTCGGGCTGCTCACTCATCTCCACGATGCCTCCCGCATTGTCGGTGATGGGGCCAAACACGTCCATCGCCAACACGAAGACGACCTAAACATGGGTGATGGCCACAGGGAGTTCTCGTGGGATTGGCTGATTTGGAACCTGCACCAAACTGTAACATGCCTAGGGCTCCTGGCCCATCTCCTCAGGTTCGGTGGTTAGACCCCCCGTGGCATCCACCCCAACCATCGAACCGAAACGGAGGTGGGCGAGGAGCCCAAACGGGCATATTCTCCATGTTTCGGGATGTACCCAGTTCGGGAAAATCACACATCACCTTACGCAAAACCAGGAGAAAGGTTCGATGACAGGTTCGACTTTTGCCTGGGGTGGACCACCTCCATACCCCTTGCCCCTCATAACTCCAACGGCTTTTCGGATGACTCCCGAACCGTGATTCCCTGGAAAATGCAGGTTAACACTTTCTCCACCTGTTCTTGTTTAGAGGGGTTATCCACTTTTCCTGGGAACATGTGGTCCAGTGGTCCAGCAAAACCTCTTTGGTTTGAAGCCAGGACCTGTCTGGTTCAACTCAGCTTCCTAGACCCACACAAACATTATTAGCACTATATACGCTATATACAGCATACCTGAAGCATCTTGCACTGGAGAAATCCCAATTGACTGAACTTCCCGCCTGTGCCTTTTGAATGGGACAGCCATGGCATCCCCCAAACACAAAAAGAACACACGCAGTCATCGCCAACCTACAGGGATTTCAGAGTATATGGCACAATCCCCATAGTTTTATCATAATCCCCAAGTTGGGTGGTATATACGGCCCCTAAACAATAATCAACGTTGTTTCACGTTGTTTCTAGTTGCGGACCCCATATGATAAACTTGGGGGGAGTCACTTGCCTGCCATACTGGGGGATGTCGGATGTCGCCATGCGCCGTCGTCGTCCGCCCAAGGCGCGGTGGAGAGCATGCCCATCGTGGCCACCGCCGTGCCGAAGAGCCCGGCCGAGGCGCTGGGAGCGCCGAAGGCCGACATGCCCGTCCTGGAAAAACAAGGCGCGGAAACCAGAAAGAACAGGATTCATCTCCACGGGGCGCGTCGCACGGGGACTGGAAGAGTTTACCTATAAGAGTTTTCTACATGAGAATCAACCCAATGTAGGTAGTACAGTATATATTCCAGTCCCATGGATGCTTTGGGATCGTTCACCTACTTAGTAGAACAGCAAGGGGCTGATGCGGGCGTGGCACAGATCGGACCTCACACGTTTTGGGTGGATGTTCCACGGGTGGTGTAGGTGCAGGTGCTCCATATGACGCAGAGATGCAATCTACCAGCACCCGACTCTACAGGTCTCTTCTGGTGGCTTTTGGAGACTTAAAAGTGGCGGGTGGAGACCTGTTGGAGGGTGCCTGTAATATGATTATATAACTATTGCCTTCTTTTTGTTCTTGTTTTTTAAATACTGCTTCAACAATGATTTCCAACACCCCACCAAAATCATGGATGGTCAAACGTCTTTCTTGTGCGAGAGATTTGTCAATGTAATCATGTAATCTAATTGATGAAGAACCCCCCATGTTGGATCCACGGACTTGCGGGCGGTCTCATCTCTCGCGCGCTCCCACTGTCCCCCTTCCTGGGTGTTCCAGGGGGTTGACGTGGGGGTCCCCCATGTTGGATGCACGCACTTGCTCAACCTGGACCCTCCAAAGGACCCCTTAAAAATGGGACATGGCCCCATAAAACCAGGTACGCACCTTTACCGAGGTACCTTTGAGACTCCAGGAAGATATATATACATGATCTTCCGCTTTCGGCTTTGTGGATCCTGCAGGTTTAGCCTTAGCCCTCTGATTTTCGAAGAATCAATTGGAACCAGCAGCAGCACTGTAACCCACATTGTTTGGCACCTGTGGAGGTAGTGCTGCACTTTGGAACTACTGGCGTTCAAAAGCTACTAAAAAGATCTCTTAGATAAGGGGTGGAATCCTCTCCTTTCGAGCAAGAACATGCTCCTGGCGTATCTTCTCCTACACTTTGCTTGGATTTGCTTAAAGAACGAGAACAAACAACATGTTCCCCAAGTCAGGGACTTCAACCCAGTTCGGAAAAATACAACATCACCCGGAAACCGCAACAAACATGCTTGGACTTGCCAGGGCTCTTGTAGGAGCACAATAGCGCCACGCAAATGATGGCCTTAGCTGTGTGCCACGGGATCTTCACCTACACGACACATTGCTTCCTTGATGGTTTATGATGTTCTCTGCAGCAGCGGACCTCTTCCACACCGGTCCACCCGATTCCAAGCATCAATGGCTCAACTTCCAAATGGCTTGACTGTTGTACAGATGACTTTTTCAAGGGTTCCACCTGACAGGCAAAACAGCCTTTGAACATCTGTACACCAAGCTGGCTAGAGAATCTAAAGCAAGGACACTTATTTATTGATCTTCACTGTACATGTTGACTTCCTATTTATCAATGGCACTTGATCCAGGGGGGGTTCTTGTTTAGAGGTGGACATTACATGGTATTACCAGGCATCTCTGGTCCGTCCTTCTCCACGTCCCGTCCGAGAATCCGATGGGGCGGCGGTCGCCTGCATGCCCACGGACATCCCCGCGATCACGTTGGTGCCGTGCCCCGTGAGGGAGGCCTGCGCGATCTGCCGCACCGGGGGGTAGTTGAAGTCGGTGTAGTACCTCAGCCGGCGGTGGGACTCGCGGAAGGGGGTGGGGGGGGGGAGGGGTTTTAGCGGACCCACATCCATTCTCAGAAGGCACTTGGACCCTCCAAACCTACATGACAGTGTCGAACACATCACCGAACCGGAGAAGGTATGACTGGATCCCTAGGGGAGGAGAGTGAGGGTGAGGTTTGCAAGGTGGGCTGGTGAAGGGCAAAGGTCCAGCAAGATTCGTGGATTTAGTAGACGTCAGCAGGGTCTACAAACCACCCTGAGCTGGGTGGTGCTGGTACAGTTGGTTTGAGCTTGTGTCCCACGGCGTGTCCCACTGTGTCCGTCGTGTCTCAGTCGTCTGCCACCTCGATGCGCTTGTTCTAGGTGCACACACGCCTTACCCAAACACTCCATGTATGGCATATTTACATACATTGGGGTGGTTTCAGGATGTTTCAGGGGTCAAGGAAGGCATATACCGTACATGGAGTGTCTGGGTTAGAAAGAATGGCACGATGAATCCTGCCCGCTACTCCAGTCGCCGTTCTCCAAACTCAAAAGCTCTCCCGAAGAAGTGCTGTCGTCGAGGCGCTGGGTCACCAAGATGAAGAGGAAGGCGGTTCCAAGGCCCACTAAGCCGCACACTGAGAAGTACATCCATGCAGTTGGATGAGCATCTGTGTAGAGCAAAAGCCTGCAACAAAAGGTGGGAGTCTCCAAAGTGTGGTCATAGACTTAGATGTCATAGGAACCAAAAAAGGTGCACCACGAGAAACCCTTATTGAATAAACCTAATTATTATCTGGTTCGCTGGACTGGGTATAGGAGAGGCAGTGACACAAAACCTGCGAGAAACCCATGCTGAGACCGGGCATGGGTCCGCTGAGACCTTCGCCAGTTCTGCTGAGACCTTCCACAAAGATCACCTCCAGGGAATTTATTGAGTGGTGATTTCTTTGTGAACATGCCGTCGTAGCTTGCATTTAACACGACCAAGCTGTCATTTTACTCCTTCTGGCAATCCAGGGTTGAAAGTTTCCCTAGCTTCAACTTGCCTTTTCTACAGCCAAGTGCCTTCTCAGAAGGAGGTACTACTTAGACCCTCCTGGCATCCACCTCCAATCACCGTGAGAGCCCAAACGGATCACCTGCCTCGATCTGCACTTTCTGCTGTCCGTCCCGCTGGTTGCTTACATCGTCGATCTGGGAACTCACACGGCTTAAAAGGGCGCTTTTGGTCGCATCCCGAGAGCGGCCGGGCCTGCAAAGAATCACAATGCCCACGGCAGCTAAACCCACGGAGATTTTGTAGCCACTCTTGAGCACTTCCATGGGATCAATGTTCTTGGCACTTTTTCCTGCGGGCAGGAAGACCCTAACAATCCAGATACATTCTCAGAAGGTACTTGGACCCTCCAAACCTACATAACAGTGTCTCCAATCACCTTCCGAGAAGGTACTTGGATCCCTATGGAAGAGAGTGTAGCCAAAAAGATCCAAAAAGCTTTCAAGCAGTATACCGGGTGGAGAAGTGAAAGCGAAGAAAACACCTACATGTGGTATTTCCAGTTGTGTTCATGGAGCTCACCCCCTAAGAATAAGGCATCAAAATCATCAAAACAGCAGTTCCGTTGGTCCAACGGAACGGCGCTACCGGCAGGTCGGACGATCAGCGGCGACGGCCAGGCCGCCGGTCCACTGCTGCGATTCTTTGGGGACCCCCAAATAGATCCCAAACACTCCGGGACTGCCATATATGCCTATCTGGACCCCTCAAACCACCCCTGGCCATGGAGTGTCTGGGGATAGAAAAGTAGATCCCCACTAAGAATGTATCGGAAACCGTGCCACTATCGATTGGCGCATCACTATATATAAGGTTGTTCTTGATTCTTTGAGCCCTCCAGGCCGCTGGTCCAGTCTTGTCCAGCTGCGGGCCCACCCGCTCCTTTGGGCGACTCGGTCATCATGATCCCGATGCCACTGACAATGATGTCCATCCTAAGGGCCGCCGCACAACGCACCCCGCAGTCGTACGGCTCGCAGCGGTAGGATGCACTCGCCGCGGCTCCCTATAAGCAGGAACCGTTGACACCGAACAAATAGAACCTATGAACCGAACGGACGGGCATTCACTATAGGAGCATGTTCAAATGAACCGAACAACAACCGCCAAATCAGGTTGATCCTACATTGAGGCTTGTGAAATCGATGTGAGTCACCTCGAAAAAACGGGTGTTCTCCTCGTATCCGCATTTTCGGGCTGGGAATGCACTTGCAATAACTGACTCCAGAACCGTTTTCCTGGAAAATACGGGTTAACCGAACTGTAGGCATATGTTCCATTGTATTCCATACATGGAGTGTCTGGAACTCAAGCGCTCATAGGAGCTCAAGCGAACTATCCTTTCCTCTATATGCATGGTTGGTTCTCAGCAGTCCCCAAATCCCAGCGACCTTCCCCAAATGTCGTTTGAAGAAAAAAACCAAGCGTCGCGTGGATGGCCAAGGGAAATAAGACATAGCCGCTGGCAGCGTCAGCAGGCAGCTGCTGTGACAGGGTGCCGCCCAAAATCATGGCCTCGATGCAACCGACTCTCTCTGGAGTATGCACAAATGAAACAAAGAGCATCAACCTGGACCCTCCAAGGGGTGTCCTGGCTGGACTAGCCCCCACTACCGCACTAGGCTTCCAGACAGGGCACCCCGACAGGAGGCTCCTGGAACACACAAACAAATCTGATACCCTGTCAGCTGGATTTCTGCTGGCATTGGATCGAGAGTCGCATCTGTAGGAAGTGCTATAGGTAAGTTTGGATGTTGGAAGGGTCCACTCATAACGAAGCCGAGAAGAGTCAGGTGGATCCAACATGATCCAACCAAGGGGAAGTGCATCCCAAGGAGCCACCCTTAAGCATTCCGGAGCCCTTCGGCTCCATCCAGAATGCGCTGAGCATTGGTTGCAAGCGATTCAGGGCCCGGATGAATCCATTTTCAAACAGGTACACCCGGGTAAGAGACCCACATCGAACCTGGAAATGGACCTTTGGAAGATCATTTTCCTCGACAACCCAGTGGTTTTCAGGTTCCACGTGGGTCTCTTCCACACCGCGCCATCCCTCCAACTATCATGGAAGCTGAGCCAATACTCCCTTGTAGAGGATTTCATGGTATTCCAGGGCCGAAGGGTAGGAGCAAGGCCTGTAAGCTTGAAAAGGGGAAACACGATGAAACACGCTGCCGGTCGTGGTCAATCCCGGCAAGGCTCCTGGCCCACCTGAGAAGATGCTTGGGGTGGGTTGTTGGGGGGTGTAGCCACCGAACCTAAGGATCTGGGCCAGGAGCCCATTCGGGAATGGTCAAACCTGGAAGCAGCTCGGAGCAGGTTCCAATGCATTCCAGTTGCCCACTCCAAACCTCAACAGTTCAGGGAGACCTCGCACCCTTTGCTCTCCCAACCAACGTTTCCACCTCCAAACCCACTGGTCGACTCAGTCGCCCAAAGGCACAGTAGCTAGACTGTGTAGACTCTCATGTGTCCTCAACCCCCTGTCTCTTCTGATCCTCAAATCCTCGAATCGAGTCACACCCTCCAACCCTCGGTCTCTTCGCTTCCGATCGGTCACGAGTTTTTCAGCTCCATTGAAGCCTCCCCATCTCGGACGTCCCGAGCAGGCCGTCCATTCAGTGTCGACCTGTCCGTTTAGTGGAGTGTCGACACAAATCCTCCCCTTCCCCCCCTTCCAGCAAAGGTTGAAGAACCCGAACTAGACGAACTAGACTATATATTCTATAGCTATATAGTACCCCTGGTTTTCCGGGTCCTAGTTCAGGTCACTTCACCTCTGTTGCTTCCCCTTTCCGGGTGACCTGCAGGTGGAGAATCCTCCAAACCACCTGGGTCCGGTCATCGCTCTCTCGGCCCGGTCGCCGCGAGGATCTCGCCGGCGATGGACTCGAAGAGATCCGCGCCGCGCCCCGCGCAGTCGCCCACGTTGTCGCCCACGAGGTCGGCCTAAGGACGATCGTCGCGAGGAAGCCGGTTTCGGTGAAGGGGTGAAGGACGATGGTGAGTGGCCAGTCAGAGAGAAAGGGGGCGATCGGCGATGAGTTGAATAGATGGTTGATTGTGGTGTTTGTTCTTGTGTTGTTGGATTGGTCTTAATTCTTTGTGGTGCTTGTGATCTTGTTTTTTCCCCACTGGGTGTGCGGGTGGCTGAAAGGTCTGAGTGAAGAGATGTAGGTGATTCCAAAGATGATGTCCGTCTCACTCTCTCTCTTTCTCTAGTATTTGTGGGAGGTTTGGGAGTATTGGACGTCCGGAGATGGGACTATCGAGGAAAAGAAGGTCCTAGGTCCTAGGATGTCGTGAAGTGTCGTTTTTGATGGAATAGAAACGTGGAACGTCGATCTTGTGCAAGAATGTGCTATATAATAATTATATATAAGTAACGCATTTTCCTCTCTACAGGTCAATGAGTTGCATTGGTCATACAAAAACACTACTCACGGAGGTCAAATCATAGGTTTTTAACAGACTGGACCTGCAGGGTCTGGATCTACCCCAACAGGACCCATGAGACTGGATTTCCAGTCTCATGGATCCCTTTACATATCGACTCCTGGCCGCAGTCTGCAGATACTGGACTGCCAGCCCTCGACCGACCGATCAAACCGCCAGATCTGGAAGAGGTCCAAATAGGTACAGTGGAACAGGAGACATGTTGAGCACTTGATGACACCGGATGATGGACTGTCGTTTGAGCCAGCCATAGACCTGCACAAAACCCAAACAGGTTGATCTGTGTTTGGGCGGGCTTGGTTCAAGCCAAGGACTTCATGACTTCACCACCACCTTGGTTAATGAGAGGGGACTGTGGCATTGTGCTGCCGCATCAACTTTGACTTGCAGCATCCTGTAGCCTCACTCAAACACCATTTAAACGCCAACAAGTCTCAAAAACTCCCCGATGTCCAAATGCCATGTGATCTGCCCACCTTCTCTGAAAGCATGTCATCTGCACCACTCTGACAAGCATCCAAGCATCCCAACATAGGTTAAGTGACCTTATAGGACCCTACATGGGGTACCTATGGGATAGTCTGTAAGGTCCTTCAACCTCTGTTGGTCCCATCATGAAACACATCATGCTGTCTGTATGTCTCACCGTCTCACCTCTTGGAATCCCCTTGTCATCTCCGGTCGTCACAGCCAGGTGGACGAACCACAATCACTGCCTTCAGGGAGCTAAGCCTTACCCCCGCCCCGCCCGGCTTAGGGTTACTCTATCTGGAACTCACATGGAAACGGAACGTTTGTAAAGGAAAATGGTCTTCCTGAAACGGAACGTTTGTAAAGGAAAATGGTCTTCCTTCCGGCGCCATGCCATCCACATATATACCCATGTGAGTTCCAGGGGGTGTAGTCACGCCGGAGCTTTGACGTCACCGACGCAGCATACACAGCGAAGGGGCGATGACCGCCGGGTTTCGCGGATCATCTTCCGGGATATCCGATTCCACCTTGCCCACCATGTCCTCAGCAGTCCGAGATCTGCACGATGACTTGAAGGAGGAAGAACCAACAGAGTCTGGAAATCAAAACCCCCTCCCCCCCCAAAAGAAAGGGGGAAGAAACACAAACTTCGGAAATCTTACAGGGTGTGGGCAAGCAAGCAGTTTTGTCCCTGCGAAACGTCCATCAGGGAAGGGTTGCATCATAGGCCATGTTTTCTTAGACGTTGTCAGGCGGGAGCTGGTCCTGCTACAGAATTAACATGAATTGACCACTGGTCCCGCCGGGGGTCGGCGCCCACGTCTGCCGCCTTGGTGTAGATGCCGCCGCCCAACTGCGCAAAGAGCGCCACGAAGGAGGCGCCAAAGCCGTAGCCCACCAGCAGGAAGGGCAGCTGGTGCAAAGCGGCCTCTTCAATCGTCCCCTTCAGCGACCCCTTCAGCAACCCCTTCCACCGTCCCTCTGGATAGATCCGATCGGCGACCGGACCCCTCCTGCCAACGTCAGCCATGGGCCAGCTATGGGGTTTGTGGAAAGACCGGGCAGTCTGAAGACTGAAGACCAAACCATGCTTGTCGGAGGGTGAGCCCGCATGGATGGAAGTATGATGTCAGCAAACGGGTGTCCAAAACCTGACACCTTTTGGGGGATGGAGAGTGAGTGGTTCTTGGATGCATTTCAATCTGCTATTGATCCACAAAATAGTACCAGTGAAGGTTGCAGCCATCAGCCCCTATACCGTCTACTTCTTTCATCCTCTTTCTATGACAACCGGGGGGCATTGGTTGCCTCTTTTTTTGGTCGTTCTCTGATGCAAACGTTGTTTTGGACCCAACACCTTCCAGTTGAGCATATTGGCTAATTTCATGTGTCAATGGAATGCACAAAAACATGTTTATGTTTGCCAGTTCCCCACCTGACAACCACATGTTTGCAGGTCGTGTTGCAGGCCATCTAGGAGAACAAAAACACAATTTCCAGGTTTGTCTTTCAGACATCAACATGCTTGATGGGATTTTGTCTCATGATGTCTCATGTGCACGCTACCGGTGTGAAACAGGCTACCGGCTACCCAGTGGCAGGCACTACCAGCCGTACACCAAAAAGAAGTCCGATGATGCCCAAGAGCACCTTGGAGAAAGGAGCAGCAAACTCCATCAACTCCTTCTAAAGACAGTCTTTTTTTTCTCTCACCCTCCAAGCCCAACCCAAAAACCTTCTCAGGTTTTGAATGGATGAACGGTTGATGCATCAACTCGTGTCTCTCACACGGATGCATCTTGCTCCAAACCTCGCCACGACCGATGGGACATTTCCTTATAGTTACCTCCGGGGTCATTTTCATGGGGTAATATGTATGTAACTATTCCAGTCCCCATTCGTCTGGTCTGGGTAAGCAATCAGGTGGTTGATTGAAAAGGAGTCCGGTGAGTTTGGACCGTGGAATGTGAACCACACGGTGTGAACCACACAGTCGGCCTCGATAGTCTCGACCATCCATGGAGCACAGCTGGAACACGACATCACTTGGAAGGACACACATCAAGTTCTGCAAATCACAAAGGACCGGACGATCACACTCCCTGGAATACTCATGGTCAAGTGAGGTGGTTTTCACTCCACTTCCACTTCCTCTTTCAGGGCGTCCCATACCGACTGGAACAGGTGCCGATCCCGTGACCGCCCCCATGACTTTCATGGTGACCGGTCACCCTTCCAGTTCGACGCTCGTGGAACTTCTTCTCCGCTCGTTGGAACCATTCGGTCCTCTGGTCCTCAACCCAAAACACTCCATCTACACCCGGGAAGATTAACATAGAACCTGAAAACCACTGGGTTGTAGAGGAAAGTAGTCTTCCAAAGGTCAATGTTCAGGTTCCATGTGGGTCTCTTTCCCGGGTGTATGTTATATGCCGCCCCAAACAGACCACTCTGGCACCCAACCACCGTTTCGCAGCCGTCCGTCCTGCCAGTCCCAGACACGTCGTGTCTGGGGAAACACGACGTGTCTGGGTCATGAAGATATTCACCACTTGGCAATCTCGAGACCGGAAAAGTCTCATGTAAAGGAAAACCACCACGCCAAGGTGTATAGGTCAATGGAGCCAGTCCCAGCTCCATGTATGCCTACATTGACCCCTCAAACCACCCCAACTGATCGGCATATATGGCAGTCCCATGGAGTGTCTGGGTATCCCCGTGCGCGAAGAAAAAAACGTATGGTTCCCGGACCACCACGGATCCTTCCGGGGGCATGCCCGAAGTGACCAGTGACCGAGTTCGACCTAAGCAGCCCCAGTGGAAGACCCTCCATCCATCCTCCATCCTCCCCGCTGCAGAGCGCCCACGGCTTCCGCCGGAGTGCCATAGAAACCACCAGCACGCCACCTGGGAGGCTGGAGAGCACGGTGGAAGATCTGACGAGAACGGAGCCGCTGATTTCTCCAAGAGAATCACCCAAATCACGTCACGTCCACCTCTCAGGGAACTCGTAAGAGGGACACCCAATCTCCCAAATCCGTGCATACATGTGCAATCATGTGCATACTGTAGCAGGTGATCACGCTGGGTAGGCATACCAAACTCTTCCCCCCGCCCAAGGTCTTCCCGATTTCCACCCAAAAACGACGGCAAAACCTCAAATCCACGCCCAACGCCGCCCTAATGGTCGCATCAAAACACTGAAAAGGACCAAAACACCAACTCAGCACCCCCGGTCGAACCGGGTCCAGGCCACTGAAGGCGCCGGCGCGCAAGCCAACGGCGATGGCCTCGCCAAAGGACCGGGTGGCAGCACTCGCCACGCGGATGTTGGAGCGCACCGCCACCTGGGCACCCGGGTCCCCGGGAGGTGCGGCGCCGTGGAACGGGGTGGACACATGGGGTGGCCCCCCCCTTGTTGGAAGCGTGTCGTAGTGGGCAACACATGTGTGTTAGTGGATGATTTTAGTATAGATGTAGGAGGGTGTATCTCTATATGAGTTCACCATAGGTTTTGCGGGTAAGAAACCAAACACTCCAACTTGGGTGGCCTCTTTTTAGACATCGACAATCAAAGGTCTGACATGTCATGCAACAACCTACACCTACATTCTCACTCCTCCAACCCACGTGGGTTGGAGGGGTCACCGAGCTTACAGTACAACCAACGGCCGAACATGGCAAAACCACTTGGCAAAACATGGCCAAAAACATCCAACAACTTAGAAAAACAGGTCGTTGGTTTTTGTGGTTGAAGCAGTTGAGACATGTTGAAACTTCGATGTTTCTGACCTTGGATGCCTCTGACTTAGCAAGCCCAAGCACCAGTCTGGGACTGGGCCAGGCACCGTGGCGGCACCTATTTCGGTCCCATAGAGCTGGGGGAAGGCTTGCCGAGCTGCCCACATGCCCACATAGCCAGCGATGCCTGTCGCGGAGGAATGCGGTGTAATGGAGTGTTGGGGCAGTTGGCCATCCATGGAGTGCATCTGTTGAGCAAATCGCCACGAAAAACTTCATCAGTGCAATGCAAACTTAATAGCCACATCGCCTGAGAGCACCGAGCCAGTGGCAAAGGAGACTGCTACGCAAAGTGCCAAGCGCGAGGAAGGCACGTGAGAAAGATTCCTTAGGAGTTCGACCGGCAGCACATCAAAATGAAGGGAACTCTTTCGAGTGGGCTTAGCCATGAATTTGGCAAGCACTTGAACCTGAGACACTACGTAATTCAACCGTCATTATTACCCAAGCGTCCCTGCCCTGTCTGTCACCAGTGTCAAGACCTCAGAAATGCTCAGATATATGTCACAATAGCCCTGAAAGAAGAACCAACTTTGCCCTCCCATCTCCAGCCAAATCGGTCTCCCTCCTTTTTCCGCTTTTCCGCTGCTACGGCCCGAGCTGCTTCGGCGGTTCCCGGACGATGTACATCAGGAAGATGCCGATCAAGACCTCGGGTGAGTCTCAGTTCGTCTCAGCAGTTCCATGGAGTCTGCCAGGAGTTCCATGGAGTTGGGTGCTATCCATGAAAGAAGATCAGGGTGCCCCTGTCTGCACTGGGCTGCCAAGCGTGGGAAAAACGGGCCATGTCTGCACTGGCCATCCATTCAGACCCCACAGGTGGTCGTTTATCCCACGGATCCCAGGCAAGGCTCCCTGGCCCTGGCTCCCTGGCTCCCTGACCCCTGGCCCTTTCAGGCTCCTGACTTGGTTTTTAATCCTTTTACAACAGGTGGATCATGACTCCCAGGTCGGGAACAAACTGAGTCAATCATTTGAAACTAACGGAAGTTCTGGGAAGGCTAAGAACCACTCCAAAAAGGCTCCTCCAAATGCAGGTCCCAGTCCGTTCAACAGGTTACTTTAGAGATGACAAATTTCTGTTCTTGGGGCACGGGAGATCTTAGCTTCGACCGCACGACCTTGTAGCCGAGGCTCTAAAACTGCCAACTTGGCGATGCTGGCATACCTGGATCCAAAAGCTTCCAGATTCAATATCCCACACATCAAATGAATTCAACATCCCACATTCACTCTATATATTTGATTGCACAAATAGGTTGCAGTGGTAGGTCTAGGGATGGTCTATGAGTCTATGACAGTCAGTCTATGTTCTTTAGTTCTTTGTTTTGGGAATCATGTCTGCTAGTGGTGGTGAGGCCAAAACGCCATAAGCACGCACTGAATTCCAACGGTTGTCACGTCTGAAAGACCACAACGTTGTGTTTTTCACATCAGGATCGAAAAACACAGGAATCGCAGCCCGGGGAGCTGTGTAGAGAGGAAGCCTGCAGCCCCTTCTCGAATCGCATCTGAGACTTGCCTCATCTTCTCATCACCCTCATCCTGGCGCCGAACGCTTTTGCGGACCCATCGCGACCCAGGACCCGTAATGCGTGCCTCATCGGATAAGAACGAACCAAGGAACACCGGTTTCTTGTTACAGTGGGGGGCGTTAGGATCCAATGCTTGTTTAAAAGGTGATGGTGCAGTGCAGGTGCAGCTGCTTTCTGTTTTCAGGGAATTGGAGTTGGTGACAAGTTCAAATGATGATCTGATGATGATGGATGATGCCGGATGATGATGGATGATGGATGATGATAGATGATGGATGATGACCGATGAATGATGAATGATGAATGATGAACGATGAATGATGGATATGATGATTATGATGATGATGATGATGCTCTGGTTCGTCCCAGCAAGGCAGCAGTTTGATTCTGGAAATCGTACCCTCCGGCACCCAACTCTACAGGTTGCCTGCCACTCTTAAGTCTCGATTTCAGCCACCAGAAATTGAAGACCTCTAAGAAGATCGGAGACCTGATCGAGCTCGCTTCGGATGTGATTCCGACCGTCTGACTGCGGACGCCCTCCCTCTTCGCGCGATTCATTGCCTTGGCCAGGACCCAGCCAGCGAGCCAGCCCGCGAAGGCCAGGCCGCTGATGGCCACCAGCGCCACCAGGTACCTCAGCCCCATCCTCACCCTTGTCCAGTGAACATTCCGGGCGCTTCTGGATCCGAAACGCTTTCAGAAACCTGGTCCACGGAGTGGGCGCTTCATGTGGATGACACGAATCGGTAGGGAACGCCAACTCTCCCAAAAATAGGTGGATACTGATAGTGGAATCCCTTCTGCTGTTTGAAGTCACTGCATCGGAGTCAATGTAGTTGGAACTTGAATACATAAACTCAGTGAAATGATCATGCAGGATCATGCAGGAATTGGAAACTTCATTGCTTTTTCGAGGGAAATGGTAGTTCCTCCATGTTCCTCCCAAAATCCACTTCCGAGGCCTTGAAAGAAGTGAGCACACAGGGAAAACCCACACCCTTCCCAGAAGGCCCATTGAGGCCTTAAAAAGCAAGGCAATATGCATATCTGGATCTTCCAACTATGCAAATTGTATGCATGTTCATCCACACAAACCAAAAGGCATAAATTTTGTTGCAAGATCCACGTATAGATGTAGATAGACATCAAATGATATCAGTGTATATAGATGTTTAGGGTGACAATGTTCATCTACCAACCCCATTGTAGAGAGGGACCGCAACTTCCTGATTGTTGCACCAAAACACAGAAAGTTTCTCGGAAGCCTTGGTGTCCGATGTATATACATGCTCCATGATCCCTAAAGCTCCAACTTCCTCCGTTTCAAAGTCTTTTGGAGATGCTTAGGGTATGCATTGGTTTGCTTTGGCGGACACCTTCAGAGAGGGTAGGGCTCGAGCCCTGCAAATTGGCATCAACCATCATCAACCCCTCCGAAAACCAATGGCTGAGCCGAGCTGCAGCATAAACGGCAAGGGAGCCCCAGTCATCGGTGGGTTTCGGGACTGTAAGATCTCCTCAGCGCACCAGGTTCAGTTCAAGGTACGGCCGGGTAACAGGAGCAAAATGACTGGGTGAAACTCCAAAACATAGTAGTTTCTTGCTATACTATATTAATATAGTAGTAGTGCACTTGCTACTAGTAGCGATGCACTTGCGCCGGCCTCCCAGAACTTTCTGATTGCAAAACGAGCCGTGGCATTTGGAGATCTTTTAGCAGTGTGCTGTGCATGGTCGACGCATGGCAGTGCTAAGCGCGACCACAACTTCCTGCGGACCCCGGACCCGACCGCAACGCGGCCTCTTGCATTGAGAATCATCGTCGAAATAATTGCTAACTCCAAAGCCGTTTCCCTAGAACATAGATCATGGTTAACCCAGGACCCTTTCCCACCTGTTTAGTGGGGAAACCAACCTCCAAAAAAAGACGATGAAGCGGGTTAACTGTATTACTAAATAAAAATATATTACATACATCCTATATCCACATTTCCTGCATGGGTAGATGTGTGTGGTAGGGCTGCACTGGAACCCAGTCACTGCTAAGACTGCACAGAAGAAGCAACATGAACACCTACAAAATCCTACAAGTCCACAGTGGCCCGCCTGAATTGAGAGTCCAATCGTGATCTACAGTAGTTAACCGTCAAACACATGGTTTTCACCACCTGTCCAGCCTGGTTTGGGTGGGTGACCCTCAAGAGCTGTCGTTTTTCATGCCCAACTCGTGCCACATGGGCCGTTCAACCAGCTGCCACACGGCCGACTCACCATCGTCACACCCGAAGACGTTCGATGTTCTCGGTGAACTCAGTGGCGTGAACCGAACCAACGTCCCACTGGAGATCACCTGAACCTACCGAATGCACTGAACGTACGGTGCCTTGCACTTGCCCAATTCATCCGAAAAGCATGATACATAAATCCAACTCTTTCCCACATGATCCACAAGTACCTCTCCCACTGTTCAGGCCAAAAGCCTCCGCAACCTTGGAGGATCGCAACGACCACCCTCCCTGCGCACGCCCGCACAACCCACTGGTGAGCAAAGCTTCCGTCGCCTCCATTAGGCCCCCTGCCGCGCGGTCTTCCACGATCTTCCTCGAAGGAAAAGAAACGAGACACCCCAAAATACGACAAATGGGATTGGACAAAAATGGCACTCCATACCGGGACCCCCTAAGGGGCTTCTATTGATAGCCCCTTAATGTTGACCTTTGATTAATAAAGATCCCCACAATAATGACTTTTTTTTTTTCCTGCACTGATTAATAAAGGCCCCCAGAATAATGTCTTTTTTTTGGAGGGATAGTTTTTTTTGGTGATTTTTTCATTGTTATATAGTGTTATTTTTACTCTCTGGCTTACTGATTTTTTAGATCTTTGGATGCAGATTTCCAGTGGCAGCAAAATATTTTTTGGGATTTTGAAGATCTTTGGGTGCAGATGTCCTTTAGGAATTGGAGATGTCCATTGAGATTTTGTGGATTTTGAAGCATAAGCTCTTTAGTTTTGAAGCTTTCCAAAAGTTTCCAAAAGTCAGTG